AGGAAGGCTGACATTTCGGGCCTAGACCCTTCTTCAGAAAGTGAAGACCCTTTCTGAAGAAGGGTCCAGGCCCGAAACGTCAGCTTTCCTGCTCCTCTGATGCTGCTTGGCCTGCTGTGTTCATCCAGCTCCACACCTTGTTATCTCAGATTCTCCAGCATCTGCAGTTCCTACTATCTCTCCACATCAAGGAGGCTACCCACTTCTCCCTCTGTTAAAGCAGAGCACCCAGCAACAGGCAATAGTGGTGGTCTCTCACCAGCAACGTCCACTAGACTCCCCACCCCGCACCCCCTTCAAGGGCACGCGGTCTCCAAAGCTTTTCTTCTTCTCCGACTTTGTCAAATCTCACACACTGCAATTAAAGGCAAGCGATCATCCCTCACGTTCCCAAATGACTCATTATGCAACGCGATTCATTAGAAATGGTCCAAAAGGATTAATACAGTAGTTGCACGTTAAAATATTAACTGATCAGCAGTGTGGGCACAGAGCAAATGACTCCATACTGAGCCGTGCCCTGTCACCATTCACCAATGAATATTCCCAAAGGCAACGTGGTGAGAATTACATCACATGCTGTCACACGCTTAAGAATAATTGGAAGGAATTTGCATTTACATGGCACCTGTCACAGCGCCCCATCCAGGATGTCCCAAAGCACATTACGGCCAACATGATACTTTTGAGCTACGGCTGTCCTGGATCTTGACAGGATCTCAACAAGGAAAGATGTGCTCCGGGAGTCAGGCATAGTGAAATCGTAAAACACACTCACAAACACGGACATGAATTTTGCCACACTGAGGGAGTTTAGTCCCCAAACCCTGGATGAAAGAACTCTTTAGTTTGCTGTTTCAACGAGCGTCAAATTTGCCACCAACAAATTTTAAGCAAGACGCCACGTTTTTGTTGTGTCATTTGCAGCAGCTGCCCATTAAACTCCAGTGTCTGACCATGGTCTTTTGAAGAGCTGGAAAAATTCAGACATAAACTCCCAGCAACTCACTGCATGACTTGGTCGTGTAGCCTTAAAGTATGGTTTTAGAATCTATATTATGAAAAGGAATGTCAAAGCACTGAAGAAGGTGTAAAAACAATTATACAGCTAATACTGGAGCCAAGAGGTCAGAAAATCCTGAATAAAATGGTGGCTGCAGAGAAAAGTGAGGGATGACCTAAAAATAAATCTTTTAAATTCATTGAAGTCTTTGATAGGATAAATGGAGAGATAATAGAGGGGAAGACACAAAAGTACAGGTCTTCAACTTAAAAGGATTCAGGAGAAACTGTTTCATCCAGAGTGGCAAGACTGTGAACTTGTAGCCATTTATTTTCATTGCAGTGTGTAGCAAAAATGCATTTAACAAGAGGCTCAGTTAACAAGAAGCATAGAGGCATACATTAATGAAGAAAGGTGAAGGCAGACAATATGGAGTTTAACTGCAACGCAGACTTAATAACCTGCATGATTGGTATCTGTGCACTCAATGTAACTCCATCTGAAGGTTTACGGAGGAGGGGGAGGGAGACCATGTGCAATCAAAAGGGTCTCGATTATTTAAGGCACTCTACCATAAGTGATTGAACCCTGCTGGTTCAGTGTGGTGTCAGTAAACTCGAGAACACACAGTCACCGACAGGGTCCCGTTTAGAGATTATTGTAAAGTTCTACCCCTCCTGCAGACACTAAACAGCATATCGTGGTGTGGCTGAAGACACAGCTAGTTTGGGAGATGCTGAATCAAGGCTGTTGAAGGTTCGAAACTCGAGGTGGCGAGACAAAGTCAAAATGAGCAGCGATCTAAGCCTATGGCAGAGCAGGTTTGAAAGGCTGAATTCCCTGTCCTGTTTAGAACTTTTTGTTTTATTTTCAGCACCACATCCTGGTAAATTAATCTTTCGGTCATTTTAACAAAAACACTGTGTCAACCAATATTGCACACTTGCCCTCCCCTTGGCTAGTAACACAATATGACTGGCTAGAGAGCAGTAATTACAAATGCTTCCCCCATAAAGTGAAATGCACTGATGTTTCACCTGGGTCTTTGGTTTAATTGGAGATGTGAGATTGCTGAAGTCTCTTAGCTCATAATATGTCACTCACAAGTACAACACAGCATCACTTACATTATAACTGCTTTATGTGTAATGGAAAAGATGAACAAACTAGCAAGGCTCCAGCATTTCATTTTCTCAATGCCTATCTTTCCAACAACCTTCAGCCAATCAGAATTACTCGAAGCATACTGTGGTCCGTTAAACAGCACTCAAGTTGAACTCAATGCAAATATTGGAAAAAGTTCACAACAAAGTTCACTTTTAAGCAAAAATCTAGCCGCATTTGCAAAACCAAGTGTCAAGTCATGTTTCCCTGCCGGGATCAGTGCACTGGCGAACATCATCCGTTTCAGAGTCAGGGAATCAGAGGAGATTCCTTGGCAGAAATAATATTTCAGTGAGTGAGTGATGGAACAAACTCCACTGGGAGATGGTGAAAGGATTAGTATCATTTCAATTGACATAACATTCTTTTGTTTTGTACAGTACGGAAGTAATCTGGGTCATGATGGTAGGGTATGAAAAATAAAGGATAGCTTTGGATCATTGGTTTCAGCACCACTTCCTTAAATATTTAGAATTCCTTCTAGTTATTTTAATCAACCCATTCCAACACACCTCTGGAACAGCAGGGACTTGAACCTGGACCAGGGGCAGGTTTACTACCTCTGCATCACAAACCTCCTATGGCTTTCCTGGTGTAAAAGCCTGTCTGTCTGACCTGTGGCTACCAGAATGACAAAAAAAGAACAAAGTAAACTCTGATCTTCTTCAATCTGGCAGCCTACATTCCTACAGCCTGCTCTCAGATGAACAACATTAAACTTGCAATCTTTAAATCTATCGCCTGTGAATTAAGTTCTCGTGTGGGCGATCGTTATGAATCCACTGCTGGGTTATACGGATGTACTAGGTGCTGGAACACAATTGGTAATAGATCAGCAATTCAGTCTTTAAGGAAAGTGACCCCCATGTCATGGGATCATGTGATAGTTCCACAGAATCTGTTCGCAGTCAATGACCATAGCACTGAGCCTTATCTCCAGGGCCTACTGCAGTCGAATGATAGCTCGCGAGGTCAGCCAAATGGCACATTATTCTGGTAGCTTTTGTACTTCAAAACATAATGAGAGGAAGATGGAAATGACTAAATTCCTCATTTTCGGCCAATTACTTTCAGATCTGGCCAACATTGTGCATATCTCTGAAAGCTCCTCTGCTCCCAATACTCCATGTTCCTCCAATTCTGGCCCCTAGTCTATTCCCTTGCCCCAAACTACCCGCTCGGCTAGCAAGGCCCCAAACTCCAAAACTCCCTCAATAAACCTCTCCCCTTCTCTCACACTCACTCTCCCCTCCTTGAGCCTGCCTCTTCGACCGAGAATCCGGTCGTCTGTCGTTGACGCCTTCTGCTTTGGCTCAATGTCAAACATTTGGTCCAAGAATGTTTCTGCAAAGCACCTTGGGCCATTGGAAGGTGCTACGTAAATGCAAGTTTGCTCAGCTGTCAGTTATTCACTAAATGTCAGCGCAGCTTTGACGGAAGCAGACACGTGCCCCACGCTTGGTCCTGCAGTAGTAGCGTATCCCTGAAGAGGGCATCTAAAGCTCTAGATGCAAGCGTGAAAATAGCAACTCCACCAAACAGCCATCCTGTGAGGAGGTCACAGGATTGCAATGTTACAAATGGCCCCTGTAGTTGTTATTTCTGCTATAAGTATAACAATATCAATATTAATTCATGCACTAAGGGAGTGTGTAGATGGCACGCTGCAGACCTTACCCTGATGTGGCCAATGCACCCCAGGATTATCAAAGCAAAAAATTGTTCAGCTTTATATAAGAATAAAACAATTCAAGATCATCACTAAGCTTCTGTTTCACAAAAATCATACAACTTTCTTCAAACCTAATCTCATTTCCTCCCAGGTTCTTCTATCTGATTTCCATTTCCATCTCAGTACAACTCTAAATCCCTCTCATTAGCACACCCTGAACTTACCTTCAAACCACTTCAATAGCACTATCTCCCCATCACTACATCCCTTCACCCCTCTCCGACGTACTAGATCACTAGCCTCCCGCCCCCCCCTTATCAGTTCAATTTTTTCTTGACTGTTCCCATTCTTTCAATCCATTTCCACACTGCCACATCAAGTGCCAGTTCTCCTCTTGGACCCAGAGGTAAAGTTTTGAGCTTTAAAGAATTTCCATTCCACGTGTTTTCTCACAAAGGCCATCCTTCACAAGGCCAACAAAAGGTGAGCAGTTCGAAAGGGGCTTTGGACAGTTTTCAGGCTGAACACTGGGACCTGGCACCTCTTCATCATTAACAGGAGCAGGACAACGAAGCCACTGACAGGGACGTTAGAAAGATGTTGCCCCTGTGTACAGTGACATGTTAAAAGCAGCACCGTAAATGCTTTGCATGCAAAATGCACACAAGGACTTCTCACTGTTACAACGTTTCTTCTGGAGAATTTCAATCATCTAGAGGCCATTAGCCACTTTATAAATAATTTGATTGTCCAGTAAACATGTTGTTTGTGCAAGCAAAGGTACGTGATGCAGAGGCAGCCTGGTTCTCAGTCATTGGATCCAATGGTTTTAGGTTTTTGTGCAAAGCCAATGTCTTCAGATTTGTAGGCCACTCCTGTTGGTCATATTTGCATGTTTGAAGCATGCCCTGTTAATTCTGAACATGCCTCCGAGGCTGTTCCTCTCGGCCAAGTTAACCTGGTTTCCCAGTCGCTCTCAAGGCCTCTTCAAGCTTGGCTCTGTACTCTCTATAGCGCCTCTTCAAGTGCTGAAACTGATCTTCTTCCTCTTTCGCCAATATCCGCAGGAAGTTCTGCAGCTCCGGGAGACTGAAAGCTTCCCACTGAAGGGCAAGCAACATGGTTAGAGGCACAAGGTAGACAACTGTCCAAAGAAGCCAAGACAAAAAAAACTCAAAAAGCTGAAATTATAGCACATAAAAACCGAAAGAACTGCGGATGCTGTGAATCAGGAACAGAAACAAAGTTACTGGAAAAGCCCAGCAGGTCTGGCAGCATCTGTGAAGGAAAAAATCAGAGTTAACGTTTCGGGCCCGGTGACCCTTCCTCAGAACTGATGGTGGCTGGGAAAACGTCAGTTTATATGCAGAAAATAGGGAGGTGGGTGGGATAGGGAGTAAACGATAGGATAGAGCCCAAGTGAGTGAAAGACAGTTGGACAGACAAAGGAGTTGCTAACGATCAGGCTGGGAGGGTGAATAGTTGTTAATGGGGAATGTTCGTGACTAACAATAGTGGGTGTGTAATGGCAGGCTATGTGGTAACAAGGCCTGTATGTGGTAACAAGGCCTGGTGTGTGGGGTAGGGGGCTGGGAGATGGGACAGTTTAGGCCCTAAAATTATTGAACTCAATATTGAGTCCGGAGGGCTGTGAAATTATAGCACAGATGGAGAACCGGATTGATCAGTACTTCTAACGCACTGAGGTCACACAGAGTTAATGTGTAGGAGCTAGACATACCCAAAACCCAAACAAATCTCCAGCATCTCTGATGGTAACTATATCCGAAAAGTAAAAGACTCAGAAATAGGGGCAGAACAGGCCAAGCCATCCATAGGAATATGGAAACTAGGACTGGATAGGTCACTTTGTGCTTCAAGCCTACACCACCGTACATGGTGGGGGATCCTCTATCTCAATGCTATATTCTCACTTTCTCCCCATACCTCTGGATGCCTTTCAAATCTAAAAATAAATTGATCTGTTAATGCTTATGAAGTAGACATGTCAGTTATGATTTAGGAAATGGCCTCTTCTGGTTGGAATTACAGAATCCCTACAGTGCAGGAGAAGCCCTTCAGCCCATCATGTCCTCAGTGACTCTCTGAACAGCATCCCACCCAGAATATGCCAGTAGACACCCCACCCCCATTTCCCATGGCTAACCCACCTAGCCTGCACCCTAGACACTATAGCACAGCCAATCCACCTAACCTGCAAATCTTTGGAATGTGGGAGGAAACTGGAGCACCCGGAGGAAACCCACGCAGACACAGAGAGAATGTGCAAACTCCACACAGACAGTCACCCGAGGATGGGATTGAACCCAGGTCCTTGGTGCTGTGAGGCAAAAGTGCTAACCACTGAACCACTGTGCCACCCAAAGCAAAATGTGATTTTTCTGGAGTGTTTGGGGTGGGGGGATAGATAAAGAACGTAGAAAAGGTACGGAAAGGGAAAGCAACCACAAGAGGCAGAGACTGAGTCACTTACCAGCACTTCCCCAGTCTCATGCTCACGGAGTACAAAACTCAAAGCATCAGCCCCAGGTCCCGCAAGCAAGCGGAGGTAAAGAGGATGCTCACTGTTCAGCAGTTTGCTCGTGTGGACTGCAAACAGAAAGACACAAACAGGACGATATTGGCGAATGGGTGTTTGGTGTTGTAAAGCCACAGTTCTCAAATTCTTTCACCAACAGAAACCACCACTACCCCCACCTCCCCCCCACCCCTTCCCCGACTGAAGGCCCACCACCTCACCTACTTTCATTCCAACCGAGAACAACACAGGCACAGGTAAATGCAGGTAAGATCCGTCTCCTGTTGGGGAGTCTGTTGCTGGGGATACAACTTTTAAAATAAAGGGGAATGCCTCTTAGGTGTGGAATGAGAATTTCTTTTACTCAGAGGGTCCTGAACTTTTAGCATTCTCCAACCCGGAGGGCTGTGGAAGCTTACTCTTTGAGTCTGTTCGTGGCAGAAATGGATAGATTTCTGATCGCCAATAAACATACGCCGATGGGTAAGGGTAAAGCAAAAGGCGTTGAAGAGTTTGATCAGCCACAATCGCATTGAATGGAGAGGTAGGCTTGATGGAACGAATGGCCTACGCCAATTCCTGGAGTTAATGAAAAGAATGGTGCTTCTTTCAGTGAAATCCCCGTACAGAATCATAAAACTGGTAGAGTGTGGAGCGAGGCCATTCAGCCCATCAGGTCCTGCACTGGCCCTCCAAAAGTATCCCACCCAATCCCTGCATTTCCCATGGCTAACCCACCTAACCTATGTATCTATGGACTATGGGAGGAAGCTTGCACAGATAAGGTGAGAACATGCAAACTTCACACAGACAGTACCCCAAGGGAGGGATTGAACCTGGGTCTCTGGTGCTGTGAGGCTGTAATGCTAAGCACTGAGATACCAGGCACTGGCTGTTTCTATGCTTCAGTCCTGTGTCATTCAGATGGTCTCCTTTCCTGGTTTTTGCTCCCACAGTATTAAAAATACGGCTGCTGTACGTTGTAACACGAGCAACACGAGCTTTCAGTCAGAGGCTGGTGAGTCTCCATAATTGGTCAGCCCCTCAGGACTGTGCGAGCTCAGGCACTGAATATGTTCAGGTTGATCAGTGTCTCATACTGAAGATATCAGGGGAGGATGGAGATAGCATGGGAAAACAGCACTGAGGCAAGATACCACCCATGATCTTGGTTGAACAGCAGAGCCGGCTTGTGGGGCCGAATGGCCTACACCTGCTGCTATTTCCTATGGTCCTGTGTGGATTCTCGTGCTTCCAACACCCTGAGCCTTGTATACAGGAACCAGCCTGGTCATTGGGAGTGGTGGGAATGAGGGCTCCAGCCTGTTTTCTCATAGCCTCAGCCTGTGGTGTTGGGCCTCACAGCCTGGCGTTTCAGACCAGTTCACGACGACCTAGAAAATCCCTGTGGACAACCAAATCTGGGAATAACTTCCATAAAGCCTGTTGGGATTGCACATTCTGCCAGTTCATTGGCAACAGAACAGAACCTCCCTCCGGACCACCTTCCAAAAGTATTACTGCACTAAATGTCACATCACCATGGGAATAATCTTCCTGGGTTGTGGAATTCTTGGGAGTATTGCAAAATGCCTGCTGACCCTGACAGTACCATCTGGAGCAATTCCAGCATTAGGATCAGCCAGTAGAGGGTAGGGTAAAGAATGTGGCTTCTAGTGACTTGAGGCAGTGTAGGAACTCATTCAGCTGATTAACGAACCCCTCGAATCTGCTTTGGATCTAAGCCGAGGAGGTCACTGAGCACAGGCTGACAGGGCAATGGAACTTGGTGTGGGTGGGATCCTATAGATTATTGGTTTAGGCAACCACGGCACAAGAAGGGACCTGGCGTCAGTGGCCTATGGGGGCAGAAGAGTCTTCAGCAGATCTGGCAGCATCTGTGGAGAGAAATAGAATTCACATTCCAAATCTGGTACAACTCTCCTTCATATATGCTGAAGCATACCAGAGTCGAAACGTTAACTCTGTTTCTCTCTCCCCAGGTGCTGCCAGGCCTGCCGAGTTTCTCCAGTATTCTCCATGTGTGTTTTAGATTTCCAGCATCCACAGTCCTTTGCTTTTCGCCATGTGGATTGAGCTGGTTATCATTTAGCCAAGAGTGAGAATGCAAAAAACTGTGTGTCAATGTGTGTGTGTGTGCATGTGTCTGTCTATCTGCTCTGTGTGTCTGTGCCCATCTGTTTTGTGTGTGTCTGTGTGTGTGAAAGTGTGTGTGTTTGAGTGTGTGTGTGTGTGTCTGTGTGTGTCTGTGTGTGTGTGTGTGTGTGTGTGTGTGAGTGAGAGTATGTGTGAGAGTGTGTGTGTGAGATATGTGTGTGAGAGTGTGTGTGTGTGGGTCTGTGTGTGTGTGTGTGTCTGTGTGAGAGTGTGTGTGTGTGTATGTGTGAGTGTGAGTGTGTGTGTTTGAGTGTGTCTGTGTGTGTGTGAGTGTGAGTGAGTGTGTGAGTGAGTGAGACAGAGACAGTGAGTGTCTGTGTGTTTGAGTGTGTCTGTGTGAGAGTGTGTGTGTGTATGTGAGTGTGAGTGTGTGTGTTTGAGTGTGTCTGTGTGTGTGTGTGTGTCAGTGAGTGTGTGTGTGTGTGTGTATGTGTGTCTGTGTGAGAGTATGTGTGTGTATGTATGAGTGTGAGTATGTGTGTTTCAGTGTGTCTGTGTGTGTGTGTGTGACTGAGTGTGTGTGTGTGTGTGTTTGTGTGTGAGAAAGAGAGAGAGTGTGTGTGTGTGTATGTGTGTGTGTGAGTGTGAGTGTGTGTGAGAATGAGAGAGACTGTGTGTGTGCGCATGTATGTGAGTGAGTGTCTGTGTGTGTGTCTCTGTCTGTGTGTGTCTGTGTGAGTGAGAGAGAGAGAGAGACAGTGTGTGTGTGTGTGCATTTGTATGTGTGTGTGTGTGTGCATGTATGTGTGTGTATATACACGTACCGGAAGGAAGTATGTGGAGCTAATATCAATCACACCACAAAATCTACATTCAGCCTCACAACTATGAAGGGCACAGCTTCAGAGTGGGTTCAATGTGTTTGTACGTGGGTCAGGCACCCAGCTGATGGGGAATGGGGAAAGAGACGAGGAAAGCCGTGAAGACAATGTTAATGCAGCTTTAAGAAAGGCTCTGCAGTTCTCCACCTCACCGTTTCAAAGGGAACACTTTCTGAAACAAGACTGTCCTGTTCACAGCCCAGAGGGAGGATGTTTTCCTTAAGGAGAACAATAATGGCACTGCTTTGGACAAAATGTCACTGTGCCCGCTACTCAAGAAGAATAAAGATTATGTGACTTGGACCTGAATAGACCTTTTATTCACCAAAAGTGCTACCTGTAGACTTTTATTAAAAAATCACAATACTGCACTATATTCGCAGCTAAGGTGAATAAGATTACAAAAGCAGGAATCAAGCATTCCTTTACATAATAACAGTTAATGTGTACAAAACAAATAACTCAACCAATTTGTTCTAATCAAGTTAGCAAGAATTATGTCTTTTTTTCCTTCCTGACAATTATGTTTTATGTAAGAGATGGAAAAGGAGAAACAGTGGGACTGAACGTTACCAGTAGCAATGGGTTTGAAGAAATAAATTGAGGTCAATTCTCCCGGTTCATTAGTGAGGGAATGCGACACTGTCAGAGGCGCTGTCTCTTTGGATGCGACTTCTAAGATCCTGCCAACTCCCTCAAGTGACAATAAAGATCCCACAACAAGTAGGGCTTGACGAAGAGTCCAGGAGTTGTCCTGGCCCATATTTAACCCTCAACCGAGACTAAGAGACCTGGTAATAGTGCAGACGCTGGAGTTCTGTGTTGGAGAAACTCAATGGGATCTGGGAGCAGAGAAATAGACTACATGTTTCTTTTCCCCATGACTCTTCTTCAGAACTGAAGAACCTGCATCCTGAAGAAAAGTCATACCGGACTCAAAACGTTAACTCCTTCTCCCCATAAATGTGGCCGGGCTGGCTGAGATTCTCCTGCTTTTATTACTAACTAACCTAGTCATTATCCCACTGATGTCTGGGACAGAGTGCCTTGTGGGAAAAGATGAATTAAAATGGTGGATGACTTTATTCATTCAGGGGATGAAGGCATCGCTGGCTAGGCAGCATTTATTGCCCACCCCTAATTGCTCAGAGTCAACCACATTGCTGTGGATCTGGAGTCACATGTAGGCCAGACCAGGTAAGGATGGCAGTTTCCTTCTCTAAAGGACGTTAGTGAACCAGATGGGTCTTTCCCCCACAATCAGCATGGATTCACAGTCATCATTAGATTCTTAATTCCAGGTACTTTATCAAATTCAAATTCCACCATCTACCATGGCGGGATTCAAACCCAGGTCCCCAGAACATTACCTGGGTCTCTGGATTAACAGTCCAGCAAGATTACCACTGGACCATTGCCTCCCCTGCAAAGAAATGACGCTACAAAGAAAGTACTTCACTGGCAGCAAAAGGCGCTACGCAAACGCATGTACAGTCCTTCTTTGCTTGCTGCCTTTTAAAAAACGAGGATTTCTACCTCCTCCAGTGCAGACTTACCTTGCTCATCATTGTGGGACTGCTGGAAGAGAGCAAACTTGGCAGGGTTATCAGCAACCATGAACTTCTTCAGCAAAGCCTCGATGACTTCCTTCACAGTATTGGTGCTGCTGATGTGGAGGGTGTTTGTAGTGCCCTTGGGCATATAGAAGGCAGTCTCGTTATTGTTGTTATACAGATGGCCTCCATGTGTTATCATGGACCGTACGGTGATAGGCCTGTGCAGGTCCATCTGAACTTTGATAAAGCCAGTGTACACATCATCTGGATTCTAGGGAGGAAAAGAAAATGGAAGTTAGAAAATAAAACGTGTCTCCGTGGTTTCATAGGCACTGGAATCAAGATAGAGTTTCGAATCCCTCAGAATGCTGTGAAATTATCGAGTGAGATAAAACAAGGAACTGTGAACGCCGGAGATCTGTAACCAAAACAGGAATTGCTGGAGAAACTTAGCAGGTCTGGCAGCATCTGTGGAGAGAGAAAGCAGGTTAATGTTTTGAGTCTGCTGACTCTTCTTCAGAATTATCAAGTTGTGCTTTCTGGTGATAGAAACGTAGAAACATAGAAAATAGATGCAGGAGTTGGCCATTCAGCCCTTCAAAACTGCACCACCATTCAATACGATCATGGCTGGTCATGCAATCTCGGTCTCCCATTCCCGCTTTCCCTCCATACCCCTTGATCCCTTTAGCTGTAAGGGCCATGTCCAGCTCCCTCTTGAATATATCTAACAAACTGGCCCCACATTATTAGACTGTGACCCCTAGTTTTGGACTTACCCAACATCGGCAACATTCTTCCCGCATCTAACCTGTCCAGTCCCATCAGGATTTTATATGTTTCTATGAGCCTCCCCTCTCATTCTTCTAAATTCCAGCGAATACAAGTCCAGTTAATCCAGTCTTTCCTCATATGTCAGTCCTGCCATCCCGGGAATCAGTCAGCTGAACCTTTGCTGGACTCCCTCAATAGCAAGAATGTCCTTCCTCAGACTAGGAGACCAAAACTGCACACAATACTCAAGGTTTGGCCTCACCAAGGCCCTGTATAACTGCAGCAAAACATCCTTACTCCTACATAGAATTATATAACGATATAATTTCGACCACATTTGGAATACTGCGTACAGTTCTGGTCGCCACATTACCAAAAGGATGTGGATGCTTTGGAGAAGATGCAGAGGAGGTTCACCAGGGTGTTGCCTGGTATGGAGGGTGCTAGCTATGAAGAGAGGTTGAGTAGATTAGGATTATTTACATTAGAAAGACGGAGGTTGAGGGGGGAACTGATTGAGATCTACAAAGTCATGAGAGGTATAGACAGGGTGGATAGCAAGAAGCTTTTTCCCAGAGTGGGAGACTCAGTTACTAGGGGTCACGATTTCAAGGTGAGAGGGGAAAAGTTTAAGGGAGATATGCGTGGAAAGTTCTTTACGCAGAGGGTGGTGGGTGTCTGGAATGCGTTGCCAGTGGAGGTGGTAGAGGTGGGCACGATAGCATCATTTAAGATGTATCTAGACAGATACATGAATGGGCAGGGAGCAGAGGGATACAGATCCTTGGAAAATAGGCGACAGGTTTAGATAGAGGATCTGGATCGGCGCAGGCTTGGAGGGCCGTAGGGTCTGTTCCTGTGTGTAATTTTCTTTGTTCTTTGTTCTATAACACAGGAACAGGCCACAAGGTTTCATTGTTTATGTTGCACACCAGCCTCTTTCTCTCTCTCTCTCTCTCTTTCTCATCTCAGCTCTTCTGGATATTATCTATTCCTTGCCACACTCTCTTATGTACCTAGGCTGAGGCTCAGTTGGCTGGTTTGCAATTAAGAATGACACTGACAGCATGGGTTGAATTCCTGCACTACCTGACACAACTCTGCCCCTTGCCTGAGGTGTGGTGACCCTCAGATTAAACTCTGAATGAGAGAGCAGCCCTCTAGGACTATGATCAGTTGACTTAACTGGGCTGTCCCTATACATGTTCCTTATGTTCTTCACCCCATCGACTCAACACAGCAGCACATTCCGCCTTCCAAAGCACACACTAGGTAAAGACATTTCTCCTGAGTTCCTCATTGGATTTATTAGTGATGGTGTTACATTGTCGCCGCATTATAGGAAGGATGTGGAAGCATTGGAAAGGGTGCAGAGGAGATTTACCAGGATGTTGCCTGGTATGGAGGGAAGGTCTTATGAGGAAAGGCTGAGGGACTTGAGGCTGTTTTCGTTAGAGAGAAGAAGGTTAAGAGGTGACTTAATAGAGTCATACAAGATGATCAGAGGATTAGATAGGGTGGACAGCGAGGGCCTTTTTCCTCAGATGGTGATGGCTAGCACGAGGGAACATAGCTTTAAATTGAGGGGTGATAGATATAGGACAGATGTCAGACGTAGGTTCTTTACTCAGAGAGTAGTAAGGGTGTGGAATGCCCTGCCTGCAACAGTAGTAGACTCGTCAACTTTAAGGGCATTTAAATGGTCATTGGATAAACATATGGATGATAATGGAATAATAATGTTCTATGTTCTACGTGTTACCTTTAGTTTTAAAATTTTGGGAATTTCTCTCCCCCCACCCAGTGTCTCAAAAACTCCACTGGTTCACCTCCTGAGCCTATTATTTGTTGTAGTCATAGCCCATTCAGTCTTCACTGAAGGTTATAGCCTCTCAGTTCCGCTGTCACACGTAGAACTATTTGCCAGGCTTTTTTTCTTCTCCCTCAAAAAGGGGAACGCAACACCAGGATGGATCTCTCCCAGAAAGCTGCAATTTCACAATCCATTGTAGTCCCAAGCCAAAGTGTTCCCAGCTTCCAAGCAAATCAGAGCTCGAAATGGTGCACAGAATATTAGAATTGGCTTCAATATCCTGGGACTGGGAGTGAGAGGTTGTAAATCTGACAAAGCCGTAGTGACCCCCCTCCCTTCTAATTGAATAACCTTCCAACATTCATTTGGGCAAGGCATTGGAGTGTGCCTATTATAAGACAGCATCGTCCATGTGGGAGAATTAGAGTCATACAGCTGTGCAATTTGGAAACAGACCTTTCAGTCCAACTCATCCACACTGACCAGATATCCTAAATTAATCTATGAGATGGAGGTGTCCCTGTTGGACTGGGGCAAAGTCAGAAGGTCACACTTCAGCTGACAAAGGAGCAGCGCTCCGAAAGCTTGCGATTTCAAATAAACCTGTTGGACTATAACCTGGCGTCGTGTGACTTCTGACTAAATTGATCTAGTCCCATTTGCCAGCATCAGTCAGAAAGATGACATTTATAACGAACTGAATTTGAACGTTGGTTCAAAACAGATGTTGAAGGATGAAATCTCAGAATTATTACTTTTCTTTCACTTATATTCTATTCCCTTATCTCCCCTCCATTCTTCTTCCAAAAACTTTCTGTCTTGACGTAGCTTCCTGCTCAAGGTTATACTCATAAACTGTTTGGAAGATTTTACTGTGGGGCAGCAGTGAACTATTGGTAGTGGCACTGGAAGTAATCCTGAGGCCAGGTTAATGTTCTGCAGCTGTGGGTTCAAATCCTACCGTGACAAATGGTCAAATTTGAATTCATTAACAATTTGGGATTTACCATTTAAGACAGAGATGAGGAGAAATTGCTTCCTAGGATAGTTGTGAGTCTGTGGAATTCTTTCTTTACCACAGATACTGTCGAGCTTGAATTATGAAGTATATTCAAGGCTGAGATAGACAGATTTTAAATTAGTAAAGGAATTCAGGGTTATGGGGAACAGGCAGGAAAGTGGATTCGAGGACTGTCAGATCAACCATGATTGGCAGAGAAGACTCAATGGTCTGAATGGTCTATTTCTGCTCTTATGCGTAATGGTCTTAAAACCTCATCTCATGTCAGTGTAAGGTGGCAGTAACGCAGTGGAAATGGCACTGGAGTAGTAACACAAAGGACCTGGGTCAATTTTTTACTACCATGGATTGAAATCGTACTGTAGCAGATGACGAAATTTGAATTTATGAAGAAATTTAAATTTAAAAGCTAATCTAATGATGACAGTGTAACCATTGTCATAAAAAAAAACCCAATTGGCATCACCCATGCCCTCAAGGGAAGCAAACTGTTGCTCTTACCTGGTTCTGGCTGACATGAGTTATAAAGGAGAGACTAGATAGGCTTGGATTGTTTTCTTTAGAGCAGAGATGACTGAGGCAGTGATCTGATTGAGGTGTATAACAATATGAGGGGCATGGACAGGGTGAATAGAGAGCAGCTGTTCGCCTTAGTTGAGGGATTGATCATGAAAGGGCATAGTTTTAGGGTAAGGCGCAGGAGAATCAGCGGGGATTTGGGAAAAATACCTTTTCATGGGTGGTGGGAATCTGGAAATGCACTGCCTGGGACAGTAGTGGAGGCCGGAAACCTTATAACTTTTAGAAAATATTTGGATAAGTACTTCAAATATCACATATGAAGGATGTGGGACGAGTGCAGGAAACTGGGATTAACGCACTTTTAGTGGTGACTATGTTGGTACAGACTCAATGGGCTAAAGGGCCTTTTCTGCGCTGTGTAAACCTATGTGACTCCAGACCCAATGGGGTTGACACTTGATTATCTACAAAATGGCCCAGAAAGATGTTCAGTTCTTGGGCAATAAGTGACAGCCTTGCTGGGAATGCCAACATCCCATAATAAAGAAAATAAAAGCAATTTCATCAATGCAGTCATTGTAACTCTTCAGCACAAACATGTGTTTGGGCCAATTTGACTACTTCTTATCTATTCACGGGATGACAGCATCACTGAGTAGGGCAGTTAAGAGTTATCACATTGCTTTGGGACTGGAGTTACATGCAGGCCAGACCAGGTAAGGGTCAACAGTTTCCTTCCTTAAAAGGACATCAGTGACCTGGGCAAATTTTTTCCCCTGACAATTGACAATGAATTCATGATCACTGGCAAACCGGCAAAGCTGGCATTTCTCACCCATCCCTAACCACCCATCCTCTGGTTAGACCACACTTGGAATATTGTGTTCGGTTCTGGTCATCTCATTATGGGAAAGATGTGGAAGCTTTAGAGAGGGTGCAGAGGACATTTACCAGGACGCTGCCTGGACTGGAGGGCGGGTCTTATGAGGAAAGGTTGAGGGAGCTAGGGCTTTTTTTATTGGTGCGAAGAAGGATGAGAGGTGACTTGATAGAGGTGTACAAGATGATGAGAGGCATAGAGTGGATAGTCAGAGACATTTTCCCAGGGCGGAAATGACTATTACAAGGGGGCATAATTTTA